GTGAAAATTTGTTTTTGAGCAAGCATCTAACAACTATCTACTTTACTCGAAAGGGCCATTCTTTTCCTCCTTTCCTTTAGACAAGACTAGCCTACTATTAGTGAGTAGGTAGCCATAGTCGTTTGGATGTATGAGAGACATTCGTGGGTCATCGTACAATCATAAAGGCAACATATAGAGAAGTTTTAGCAATTTTGTTTAGGGGACTAGATCATTTACCGAAAGGCAACGCCGTAGGGTCATCGAGGGACTATGATCTTTTGATTCGAGGGTCTTTGCTAAAGCGTCTCTACCTTCGAGGGACATGACTGTTTTATTTTCTGAAGACAACCAAAGTGGGAGTATCCTAGAGGTCTATATGTGCAAGTGTGTTGTATTCAATTATTTTTGTCCTTTGTGTTAGGTTTGCTAGCGTTTTGTTTTTATTCTTACCATACAATCCTATTACCATACATCTAACAGTTAATATTGTACAGAAAATAAAATGCGGGAATATAAATCCTACACTATTATAAAGCTTCGGGGAGGGAGATTATTACAATTCCAAAATGGGGAGATAAAAGCAGTAAATGTCCTAGTTATTCTATTACAACTCATGAGCAGATACATTAATAAAAAATGTGAAATTTAACATAAGCACACGAATTGAAAATATACCTAAAAATCCTAAGGTAAAAAGAAATCTTTTTTGTGTTTTATTTTGATTATGAAATAAAATTTGATTAAATCCTAGGTATTGATTTTAAATTGGATAAAATAAAGTTAAAGTAATTAATTAATCAATTAACAAAATTAATTTTAATTAAAAATAATTAAACCTAATTTTTTGTGATTTTTATAATTATTAAATAAAAAGACTAAAAGCAATAAGTAATGAAAGAAACAAAACAAAGACAGGCAAATGGGCCTGGATGCTAACTAGCAGGCAGGGGGTATGTTTGAAATTTCTTTGGCCCAATTCCAGGAGAAGTCCAGGTTGCACCTGACTTCAGTGTTGTTGGCCTTTAGAGGGTGCACCATAGGCTGCATGTTGAGGCGCATGGATATGAATCAACTGTGATTTGATGGTTAGGATTTGAAAATGTATGGTGTGCGCGCGGGATATACCAGTACTGGATCTGCAAACAAACACGTTAGAATGAAAATGAAAATGCCTGACCTGGGATTCGAGCCCAGGTCCTTCATCTAGCGCACACCTTCCTTTACCGTTTGAGATAGTTGTTCAATCGAAATAAAAGAAACTAACATTGAATCCTGCAAGTTTGTTAGTTTCAAAACCAAACAAGAAGAACCTATTCCACTCGAAATCAGCCCCTGAACTTCGAATCTGGGGTTGTTTCAATCTGCAACAATCTGTACCATGGGTTTCGAAAGTGGCCAGTTTCGAAAGTCCTAGCCATGGTATCCTAGCATTTGGGTACTACAACTTCCATATGTTAAATCATTCACAAACAAAAATAATAATATGAACATGCCATCCACATGAGTTTAAATTATAGATTGAATGAGACAAAAAAATTTTACCAACTGGAGGCGCTTTGTTCTGCAATCTTGAGCGTGTGATATGGCTTGTGCAAGGGTGGGTATGCGTCTGTGAAAACCCCAGGGACACGATTTGGATGGGAATTTGGACGGAGGGTTCCTGCAAAGGGTGTTTTGAACTTGACCACTTATGATATTTTTGAGGATTTTGGTGTGGCTTATGAGGCAGCGTGTATGAGGCAGTATGTGTGTGTAGTCTGTCTTTGTGTGTATGTATGTAGTTTATATGCGCATGTACCCTTGGCTTGTAGAAGTGTTGTGTATTTATAGGAGATGGAGAGAGAGTCATAGCATAGAAATGGCAAGAGATAGCCATTAACTACGCTTTGAAGGCCAATCAGACACATTAAGGGATTTCCTTTTTTGATGAGTTCCTACCCCCTTTGAGCTTTGGGGTGAACCTGGACATAATTGACTCCTTCGAATACCCTCAATCTTTGCTCTTCAATTGTCTCAGGGTTGCCTCCTTTGAATGGCTCCAATTCTCATCATCGGGGCTTCTTCGATCGAACCCCTATTTGTCTTGGTAGCTTGATCTGAAACTAGCCCAAACAAAAACTCCTTTCTGGCCAGTCGAAACTTCTCTTGTTACCTTATTCGAATGCAATTGTGCATGAGGCTTAGGCTTAGCAACATGTTGGCTTTTGGTCAGCAAACCTTTTGGACCAAGACTCATCATAAAACAAACTTATTTTCAATGATTATGTGTCTCCTTCGAATGAAACACAAGTATACCCTTCGAATGGCCCTTTTGTGTGCCTTTCGAATAGCCTACATGTATGCCTTGTGCATTTTTCCAATGGCCACCAATGTGTTCATAATGTAGCAATCATGTGCTTTGTGAAACGAAGGTAGGTGTGAAGAGGAAATCTTTTCCTTGTGCACTGAAGGCAAGCATAGAGGGAGTATTTGCCTAGTGGATTGAAGGAAAATCTGAGGAAGCTTCTGCCTTGTGAATCGAAGGTCAATTGAAAGGGGCCTTTTGCCTTATAGATTGAAGGCAAGTTGATGGGCCTTTGTCTTGTGAATCCAAGGAAAGCATGAGGATATTTTTGCCTAGTCGAAGCTAGATAGCCATTGCTTTGTGAATCGAAGACCAGTTGAAGGGGCCTTGGCCTAGTACGCTGAAAGCACGCACAGAGGAAGTCATTTCCTTGTGGGTCGAAGCACACATGAAAGAAGCTTTTTGCCTTAGGAATTGAAGGCAAGCATGAAGAGGGGTTTTTGCCTAATGCGCTGAAGGCAAGTTGAAGGGAAGGCACTACTGGAATGATACTTGTGGACCCAAAGTTTGATCGAAGGGTGCCAAATACCCAATCGAAGCTTACTAATCAAAGCATGATCGAAGAGTGCCAAATTCCCAATCGAAGTACCTTGTTCATATGCCAATCAAAAGACACTTGATTATTTAAAAAAAATTATATTTTCTCTAAGCAAGTGTTTGTAACCACCCATGTAAGAGACAATCTTGGAAAACATGAGAGGAAAATTTTTGGGATACAATAGCGGTTGACCTTCAGTAGTTCGATTCAGTGTCTTTGCTCTGATACATAACACTCGGGGGGATGAACTCTTGTTGCTTTAGTATTTGTTATTTAAGTCGTTGAACTTTAAGTTGATTGTTGTTAAGTACTTGTAATTCAGAAGTTGCTTTCATGTTGGATAAAGATGTTATTATGATTCTGTTGCGTAGTTGTTCAAGTTGTTGATTTAAAAGATTAATTTATTTTGCTGTTAGTTCATCTGAAGTTTTAAAGTGTTATGTATCTATGTTGAATGCAATGGTTTTTAAGTTGAATTTGTGGCATCCTGATTCAGTTGTATAATTTTTATAACTGATTTACATTTATATTGTTGGGTAGAATTGGGGTGTTACATTAATGGTAACTGGAACCTAATCTGGAATGTTAAAGGCCCTCATAAAGTCAAGAATTTTATGTGTCGGTTATGTAGGAATTGCATCTCTACCAGAAGCCGCCTCTTAGACAAAGGAGTTGATTGCCCCTTAATATGTATTCGTTGCATGTGAGGCGAAGAAAACAATTATCACGTGTTCTTCCAATGTCCTAAGAGTATTGAATGTTGGGAAAAAATGGGTTTATGGTCTTCTTTGCATTCGTTGATTCTTAACGAGGGAGATTTTACCTCGATTATTTTTTCTTTCCTACAAGCGGCTACTCAAGATCATCAGGCTATCTTTTCCACTACTATGTGGAGCATTTAGAAGAACAGGAACAATCATATAGCTGACTCTGCGGTAGATATTTGTCATAGAGCCGTTCATTGTTTGATAGGGTGGAGAGAAGCACAGTAGGCTCGAAGCAATAACATTACCTCTATTAGTAAGGACTCTACTCCTAAATAGGGGAGACCCTTAGCGGGTTGTCTTAAATGTAACATTGATGCTTCCTTTACTCAGGATAAGGTAGGTATATAGTGTTTTGTCACTACTAAAACTGATTGGTTATCCTCGATCACTGATGTTGATATTGGAGAGACTTTGGATCTTTTAACTGCTATTAAATGGGTGCACAGTCTTGGTCTTGATAACATGGATTTTGAGTTAGATGCTAAATATGTGGTGGATAGTGTGAACAACTCGAAACCTAATGATTCGAAGTTTGGTGCGATTACTTGAGAATGTAATCGCTTATTGACTCTTCTGTTTACGAACTCTATAGTCAAGTTCACTAGGAGACAAGCTAATGAAGTGGCTCATGTTTTGGCATGGGTGGCTCCATCCTTTGCTAGTTTTCATACTTATTGATATCCCGAGTTGTATTCTGAATATTATTATTAATAATATGAATTGATCTTTTCCTATAAAAAAATATTGAAAATAATATCTAAAAAAAGAACACTTATATTTCAATTGATATCAACAATAAAATTAGATAAATTTTTACAAATCCATTAATAAATTTAAAATAATTATATAAGAAAATCAAGGCAAAATACCTTTTTTAGTCCCTTAACTTTACCTCTGGGTCCATTCTGGTCCCTTATCTCTAAAAAGTTCTAAAGTGGTCCTTTAATTATTCAAAAAGGACCACGTTTATCTTTTCCGTCTAGACCGTTAGTCAAAGTCAATGGTAGAGCTTATGTGGCATATATGTAGCATTGCACGTGTTTACATTTTCGTTCAGGTGGATTAAAGTATTTTAAAAAATGGTTATAGCATTGCATGTGTTAAAGGATCAGATTACATCTCCAACACTTAGAAGGTAATCTTTGGGCAGCCATTGTTGGTAGCTCCAATCTGTGAACAAGCTGCGAGCGAAGTGAAGGCACAATCCGACCACAACATTACAATCGAAGCGAAGTGAAGGTGAAATCGACCACAACACTGCTCATTGTAGGTAAGTTTCTGCAAAACTATGATTTTCGTAGTTAGGATTTTTTGAAATCAATGTTTCTGAAATCAAATATCTTCTTGTTCATTTAGGACCTAGTCTGAAATGTATAAATATCTCAACATTACAATACACCATAGTGGCGAATTTGTTACTAAGGATAAGAGTGTTTACGAAGGAGGTGAGATTGTTGATTTAAGAGTAGGTGTTGATAAGTGGAGCTATTTTGAATTGATAGGTGCTATTAAAGAGCTAGGTTATGCAGATGTAGAGAATATATATTACAGGGATGAATATGTTGGTTGATGACAAGGGGCCTTAGAGATTGATGATCTATATAGGGTTCATCTTAGTGTTGAAGTCTTTATTCAACACACGTTGTCAAAGTCTAATTATGCTGATGAGACTGAAGTTGTGTTAGATGAGGTATCCCTTAATGTGATAATTGATGAGGCAGTAGTTGCGCTTGAAGAGATGTTGAATGAAACTGATGTAAGGGAAGATGGTGTTAGAGTAGGTGATGTTACTAAAAACAAATGATAATCAAAACAAAACAAAAATCATTTTATAATTATTTAAATTTATAAAACTAATTACGAATATCATTCTCAATTTACAAGTATGTATTTTTTTTAAAATAAAATATATCTTTCATTTTATAAATTCACAACTTTAACAACTTAAATTAAATATCTAAGTCAAAGATAACTAATAAAAAAATATGATAATCAAAACAAAACAAAAATCATTTTATAGTTATTTAAATTTGCAAAACTAATTACGAATATCAATCTCAATTTACAAGCATGCATTGTTTTCAATCTTTTTCGTTTATAATAGTGACCATAGATAATATAATAAAAATATTTAAAATAATATCTAAAAAAGAACACTTACATTTCAATTAATATCTACAATAAAATCAGATAAATTTTTACAAACCCATTAATAAATTTAAAATAATTATATATAAAAAAATTAATTAAGTTACTTAGCAACTAACATTTTCAACTCTTTATTCATTAGATGACCAAAGTTGAACAAAAATAGATATAATTTTTATAAGTTTAATAAAGTTTTATTTGATAATAATTAAAAATAAATGCTTAATTTTATAAATTCACAAATTTGACAACTTAAAATTAAATATTTAAATGAAAGATACTACTAAAAACACATGATAATCAAAACAAAACAAAAATTATTTTATAATTATTTAAATTTATAAAACTAATTCTGAATATCATTCTCAATTTACAAGCATGTATTTTATTTTCAAATAAAATGTATCATTCATTTGAGGAATTTACAACTTTAACAACTTAAAATTAAATATCTAAATCAAAGATAACTAATAAAAAGCCATGATAATCAAAACAAAACAAAAATCATTTTATAGTTATTTGAATTTGCAAAACTAATTACGAATATCAATCTCAATTTATAAATATGTATTTTTTTCAAATAAAATATATCTTTTATATGTGATTAATTTATATTATTGTCGCAATTATATTTCACAATAAACTTTTGTAATACAAATTCACAGGTAAATTTCTGCAATCTCTTTAATAAAATTAAAATAAATATTTAAAAAAAACAGCTAAGCTACTATATCAACTAGCATTTTCAATTCTGTATTCATTAAATAGCTAAAGTTTGAAAAAAAATATAAATATTATTAAGCTAATAATGTTTACTTGATAATAATTGCAAATAATCTTTTAATTTTATTTTACATTAAGAATAAATACACACCTTTAACAATTTAAAATTAAACTAATAAGTCAAAGATAATTACTAAAAATATATGAGAATCAAACAAAATAAAAATCATTTTATATTTATTTAAATATACAAAATTAATTATGAATGTCATTCTCAATTTACAAATATATATTTTTCTTTTAAATAAAAAATTTGTTTTTATACACGATTAACTTATATGATTGTCTCAATTATATTTCATAATAAATTTTTGTAATATAAATTTATTAATCATGAACTTTTAAAACAAATTTTTAACCTATTTAAAATTTAATAGAAATTAATATAAATAATTTACAATCCCGCGTTACGCAGGTCTTAATCTAATTTATTATATTATTTGTAATTATATTTCTATCAAATATTACACCTGCTTAATGCTTGCAGCTTAATGAGGTCAGATGCAGTAAAAGGAATGGTTAAACTTTACATAATAAAAACAGCAAAGATGAGGCGCATTAAACAAAAATTATAATAAAATATAAAGATGCTAATTACCAAAAGAAAAGGCGTATTGGGTTGAGTATACCTTTTAGATAACTTCAACAAAGAAAGGGTGAAGATATTATTGTAGAGCATACTTTGTCTCTAATCATGTTGATCACTTTTAGTAATATAAGTGATCACGTAGAATTTAAAATTTTGAAATTCTGATATATATATATATATATATATATATATATATATATATATATATATATATATATATATATATATATATATATATATATATATATATATATATATATATATATATATATATATATATATATATATATATATATATATATATATCTTCTTTCGGTTCTTCCTTTTCTAACCTGAGAGACCCACTATTCTGTTTTTTCCATTCGTTACTTTTTATAATTGCTGAAATTAGTGGAAATGGATCCTATCTATTTAGCGTGATTCTTCTCTAAAGGAACCCTCGGGCGAAAAAAATAATAATTCTTCTTCTATCTTTCTTTGTCTCCTCGGTTCCTGGGTGAGTAGAAAGGGGTCGATGAAAGGCCATTCTATCTACAAGTCTATCGGAGAGCCAGTCGAACCACTGACACAAAGATTTTCAGTCCTTTACTCTAACCAGCTGAGCTACCTGAACCACTTTCCTAAAGTATGTTTTCTTAATCGAATAGCGCCCTACCTTACTTACCACTTTACTAGTAAGGGAAAAGTCCTTTACTAATAACAAGAAAGAAAGGGTTTTTTTTCGTTCGTCAAGCTTTCGAGCAGCTCTTTCAACTGCCGCCTAATCTCCTCTCCCAACATGCTCAAGAACCGAGAGCCGCCCAGGGAATATATATATATATATATATATATATATATATATATATATATATATATATATATATATATATATATATATATATATATATATATATATATATATATATATATATATATATATATATATATATATATATATATATATATATATATATATATTAAAAGTTAAAATTGATGTTTTAACAATATATAATGTCACGATAAATGTTATAACATCTGTCGTCAGAACAACAACAATAATAATAATATAAAATTTAAAAATTGCAGAAGTAAAAGAACAAAACGATACATTAATTCAATTCGGTGCAAATTTATTAGTACTAGTTCAAAATTAAACTCTCTGTTTACAACTTCTCACTTAATTCTTACTCCAATGCAACTTTTACTAAAGTACCTCTTTGATATGAAAAATCATCATTTCAGTTTCAATCATCGCAGTAATAAACAAACATACTTGAAGTATCCATTCGGATATACATACGAATTTTGCAAATAAGTGGCTTTTTTTTTTTGGATGAAAGCGTGTGTGTTTAACCCTTCCTTATCCATATTAGTGAATGGTAGTCTAACGGCTAAATTTCAAGTTGAAAGGAGTTGAAAGGGGGCTTCGTCAGAGTCATCCATTGTCACTATTTCTCTTTTAAGGCTAAAATCTTAGATGCATTTGATCCAGTTAACCACACAAATGACTCGTTATCATGAAGAGACGTACGTGCAGTAGGGGCATTTGTTGAATCAGCTCCAAATTGGTTCTCCAAATGCATTTCTTGTAAGTTGGGAAACGGTAAGAGGATCGACTTTTGGAAGCATAATGGATAGGAAATGTACCTATGTGTAGCATATTTGAAAAGCTTTGCAAAGTCTGCTCAAACTGCTTCTCAAAAGTTGCAGAAAGGTGTCTGGAGAAATAATACATGGGATTGGTCTTTATGGTTGGATCGAAGTAACTTGTCAGAAGAGGGACTAAGGGAATGGGAAGAATTACTTCTACTCTTAATTGGGATAAAACCTAAGGAGGAGGTGGGGAGGACTCTTTTGTGTGGTGGAAAAGTAGGTATGGTTACTCAGTCAAGCACTGTTATTCGATTTTAGAAAATACCATTTGCGCAGGTTCTATGAAGGATGAAAACACATTAGAAGTCTTGGATACAATATGGAAGTCAAAGGTCCCAAGTAAGACCATACTCGCATGGAATTGACTAGAAGAGGCATCATTGAAAACATGCATGACGAAGTTTGTTCGACGGGTAGCTGAATCAACTATGCATGTTTTTCTATTATGTCCAATTGTAGTGAAGGTATGGAACCATATTGGGAATTGGCTAGGAATATCTCGGCATCATGATGCGGTATCCATCATTGAAGGATTTGCAGCATTTCAAAACTTTCTCAGTAACAAATTTTAAAAACGCTTTGTCTGTGCGGTTTGATTGGCGGCTAATTGGGCGTCATGGCTTAGCATAAATGTGATTATGTTCAATGGTGCTCTGAAAGGTGCAAAGAAGTGGTGGAGTTAGCAAAACATGTTATGTGACAGTGGTGTTTAGCCAGCCAGTTAATTTCTACGGAGAGTGTTAAAGATGGTTGGTTTGATTTTTTTTTATTTTTAGGTAATTGGCCAAGTACCTGTAGTACTCTTAATAAAATTTATTATTTATCGGAAAAAAGGTCTTGGTGTGTGAAAATTATTTGTACTTATTTTCTCAAAATAAAAAAATAGATATAATTGATTGATTTGGAAAGAAAAAAAAAACATTTATCTCATATATGAATGGTATCTTTCAAGAAATTCACAATTGATGTTATTCATTTAATTTTTTTTTACTTTATAATTGATCTTATAGAAAAAAATAAGGTGAATATTTCTTTACTCTTGAATTTAGTTGGATATTGGTATCTTCATTCAATGAAATAAGATTATTCATTGTCATATTACAATTTAAATTATTTGATTTTAAAATGAATTAAATGTTTTAATTAATTTACACTAAATATATCGATATCCTACTATTTATCATGGATAATTAAAATTTTATCAAAAAATAATATAAAAAAAGTGTGAAAAAGTTATAGATAATTATATATAATTAGTGTATTTTAATTAATTCTATTTTTTTTTAATGTTTTTTACGTTGACAATATTAAAAATCAGGATATTTAACTAATTCATCTGACACAAATATTTGTTGTGTTTAAACTTTTATAATAAATTTATTTTTATTTGCAATATATAAATATTTTAAATTTAACTAATTATTTATAAGTAAATATTAGTTTTTATACTAAAGGTTAACTAAAAGTAATATTAAACACGGTTTATATAAAAAAAACATGTAATAGAATGAGAATTTTTTTACAATAATCATGTATTGAAAAAAATACATAAATAATCATGTTTTAGAAAATATTTGAATTAGACGCTAAGTCAATTGACGCATGTACTTACTATTTGGTCTTAGGCGCCATCTCATTTAGCGCATACACTTCTTGTAAACCATGTGAGATGACGTATGCACTATAATATGAGAAGGAGATGCTATATGGGATGGCTTATACATGCAATTGTGTTTTTCTATAAATAGAACACTCATTTCTCCATCATTCTTCACACTTTATCACTTTCTCTTCTCATTTTTTCTCTTTATTTTGCATCATGACATCTCCCATGATTTTCACCAGAGATGGGTACGTTATTTTCTCGCCCACCAAACCTCCGATGAAAATGAAATTTTGACACATTCACTCCATGGAGCGTCTGAAGAGAGAGTTGACGCGATGGCTAGAGGGAGACATCGAAGCTGGGGGAAAATTAGAAGGATCCATAGGAGAAGAACAACCACCTCGCTTGCAACTAGAAGACCTCAATTTTTATTGGAGGAAGTCAAAACAGACACAGACGTTAATGGTGATGATGCACAGATCCGATGAAATTGTCTTGATGGTTGTAATTTTTAGATATTTTATCGTGTTGTTGATGTTATATTTACATGTTTTATTTGTTGTTGTTTTAGTCGTGATGTGTTTTTATTTGTTGATTGTGTTGTAACAAATGATTTTAATGAAAAAAAGCTCTGACATTAAAAAGTATAGACCGATTGCATACATTATTTATGTTGCCGAGTTAGTAGCACGAGTGGGACAATTTTTTCGATTGTGTTCAGTCTGACGGCATAAACCACACTTTCTTTCTAACTTGTCAAGATCGTCCATCTCAGTTGTGATACGCTTGCTTTTGGGACAACCATTTTTATTCCTTCGTATTTGGTTGTTGTGCCAAACTATTTCCCCTTCGTACGCAGGCCAATAATCAGGTTTCGCTACCACTTGAAAGCCATTGTTGTATACGCTGAGCAAGGTCTCGGACTTGTAAATGGGAGATAGAAGTAGTAATGCATCTTGATGAGTATGCGTACATGCTGCAATGACATGAGAGCAAGGCATACAAAAGGCTTCAAAATTTCCACAGTTGCACCAACGAGATGGTAGTATAACCCTATACTCTTGTCTTGGCAGCCCCTCCTTGTGGTCGATTGTCTCTTTGACAATGAAGTTGTGGTTATATCGGTCAAACCGTGTAACAAGATGCGTGTTGACTTTGGCACCCTCTGCCTTAATAAATTTCAGGCAACTTTCACTCCATAGTTGGCCCGATTGTAACACCGCGTATCACATTTCACCTCTTTTTGCAAACAACTCGGTCATCCTAAAATATGTTGATTTCACCAAAGCAGTTACTGGGAGGTTTCGTATGCCTTTGAATACACCGTTCATTGATTCAACAAGATTTTTTGTTATATGGCCCCATCGTTGTCCATTGTCGTATGACCTTGTCCATTTCTCCACTGGAATATTATTAATCCACCTACCTGCATCCGGATTTGACAATCTGATCTCATTGCGATAATGTTTGAACGAGGGTTGTGTTAATGCATACCTCGCATTCAATATTGTTTTTTTAAGAGCCTTGTCTTTGATGTCCCTCGTGAAATTTTGAACGATATGTCTAATGTAGTAGACATGCGTAGAAGGGGGGTCATACCAACCATTTGCAGGATTATTGTATGCACTCTCAATAGATGCATGTCTATCGGAGATCAAACAAAGATCAAGTTACAGAGCCACGTGTGTTCGGATATTCTTGAGAAAGAAACTCCAAGCCCCACCAGTCTCGCCCTCGACTAGTAGCGTACCTTTGTATTTCCCGTATAACCACATTCCATATATCTGTATTTCCCAAAAGTATGACGAATAGTGTACATTTTATGTAGTTAAGATTGCTTAGGAGTTTTGAGAGTACAAGAAAGTATAGTTGGGGTTCTACTGTTTTAGCCCATCTATATAGTTTATTATGTAAGAATGCATCAAAAGACAAATGTACTTTTATGGATGTGCTTTCTTGCTTCAAGCATGGGGTTGGTGGAGAATGGAGTCCCTTAACTCCGTCAACAAAAATGCATTCACTTTCCCCTACGCAACAAAGTAAGTCAACATTTTCAATAATTTTTTATTCATCTCTTTGCCAAATATATGTAAAAAAACTAATTATTTTTTTCCATTTTTTTAGGTATTATGTAAGGGGTATGGATTATAGCAAAAATCTAAGATTTAATGTCACTCTATATCGTAATCTATTGGATCACCTTGGCCCGAATGACGTATGTAGCACCTCTAAACTTTTCTACTTTTAAATTATTTATTTTTAAAGTTTTCTATCTTCTAATTAATTTTTATCCATAGTTTATCTGGAGACCATATTTGGGTTTGGAGCATGAACCCAACCCTGAGGATGCAGTAGTTTAGACGATAAAGACTGCAATCATACGGTTCGACCGTGTCAAGATGCAGTTTGGAATGCATCAAGAAATACCATCTGATCTGACTTGTTTGTCACTGTAACATGGTGGGAGAACTGACTTGGGATGTTTTGCGTTTAATCGCAATTGTTGCGGTTAACAAGAGTCGCCACCGACTTTTCTTTTATCCAATAAAGGAAAGGATGAAAAGAATAGGAAAGACCTTTGAGATTATTTCTTAAGTTCGGGGGGTAAATTATGAAAAGGGAAGGTGTTAGCACCCTTTTCATCCATAGTTATCTATGGGCTCTTAGTTGCTTGCTAGATCATTTGCTTTCGTTTGAAAATGTGCTTTGTGATGGGTTTTTTTAAACTATTTTTGAAAAGTGCCTTCGTTTAGGAAAACTTTGTAATGATTCTTGTCTTTATAAGAATGTATACAAAGTGTTGGACTTTTGAAAATATTTCATAGAAAGTGTGGGTGCATTTGAAAAGATGTTTGTTTTGAAAATGAGCAAGCAACTAAGAACATTTCTACCTACTCAAAAGTCTTTGTTTATTTCCTCCTCCTTTAGATGTTTCTATTTTACCATTTATTTGGTGAAAAGTCTTATCTTTGGATGTAAAGGGACGACATGGGTCATCGCATAGTCATGATAGCAATGTTGTGAGATGTCTTAGCTTTTCTCTTGAGCGACTAAGATAATTTGTAAGGCAACATTTGAAGCGTCGTCGAGGGACTATGATCTTGTATTTTGATTGTTTTGCTAAGACGTCTCACATGCATAACATGACTATTTTCATAAGACAACAAGTGGAATTACCCTAGGGATGCATGTGTGAATAGTGTGTTTGAGTTGCATGCAATTAGTCTTTGATTAAGGGTTGTCTACTTTTTGATTTTATCTTCCCATACAAATCCTACTTTACTTGCATCTATATGAAAGCGATAAATTGCGGAAGATAAATATTCTACGCTATTACAATCATTAGGGGGATGGGGTATACAAATTTATAAATGGGGATTGCAAGAAATTAAAGTCCTAATTATCTATTACAACCATATTGAAATAATGTACAAGAAATGTAAAATGGACTTGTTTTGTTTTTGTTAAGAGAAGAAATGATTTGGCTTAAGAAAATATTTTTAATCTTTTTGTTTTAAAAGAAATAAAATAAAGTATGTGAATATAAAAATATTTTTGGTGTTTTTTTACTACTGAAAATAGAAGTGGTGTTAAAAATAATAAAAGGAAAAAGAATCAGAATCAGTGCATTGCTGAAATAAGAGAGAACAAA